CTCTTTCTCTCTTTCCCTCTCTCTCTCTCTCTCTCCCGACTTCAACCCGCTCAATCGAGGGCAGATGACGTTGAGCGGATATTAAGGTGTTTTCTAGAGAGAGAGAGAGAGAGAGAGAGAGAGAGAAAGAGAGAGAGAGAGAGAGACACTTTCGAATAGCTGCTACTTCCTTGCAGCTTTAATATTATGTTTGAGGTAGATCAGAAAGCACAAGGCAAATCCTGAATTGAATCTAATTTTCATAAAGGGAGATTTTCTCTTGTAATATTATTGTATTATTAATATTTTAAAATGTCTATATATAATAATTCATAAAATTATGTAGAATTTTACATCGAATTTATATGTAGAATTTTATGCAATACATTTTTTTTTCCAGAAAAATGAAATTATCAATTATTAATATTATAATATTTTATGTAATGCGGAGATGTAAAACATTATGAGATGTACATTTTAAATTCTATATTTTATATATAATTTCCGCGCGAAAGATCTTTATAGAGAACTTTCAACTGCATATATGTACGGCGTGTGTATTTATTAGGGCAATTTTCTTTTCCACAATGAATTATTCTTCACGAAGGAGATTGAGGAAGTTATAGATAAGTTACGGTAAAGTTTAATGAAGGGATCTTAAGAAGGAGATTGCATTCGTGAAGACTTTAACAGTTACAAGGCGTCTGTTATGCTCGCTTTATCGGAAATACTTTGTCTACTTCCAATAATACTTGTGGAGTTCACATTCACTTCTCTCTTTTACTCGTAAAAGTATTGTTCTTACCTTCTGGTGAGCTCGAGCCACGTGATCGTGTAGGAAGCTGGCTCTTCCACGATAAATTCCACGGCGATGGTCCTGATCGGATCCTGTCCCGGTGCGAGTATCATCGCGTTACTGCTGACGGCCCAACCGTCGCTGAAAATTTCCACCACGTGATGCCTCGAGTCAGCAGGTGGCTTTGGACAAACTGACACGTGGATCGCGCCGCCCGTGTGCACGACGATGCGATTCTTGGTCGCGCACTTCGTGTTGTTCGACATAATTATGCCGTGCATTTTCACGTATAAATATTGACCCGGACCGGGATCGATTAGCCACGGCTGGTTCTCGCAATTTTTCTAGAAACGACAAAAGAAAAGAAACATGCTTGAGGTGGAGTAAATATAAATAAATATGCAGAGTGAATCATTAAAAATTGCGATTTAAAATATTTTTTTATCCTCATTATTTTTTATTTTATCAAGATTCATGATATTTACATTTTTTCTTCAAGCTGTTGCTAGAAATCAAGTAATGTCGCTGCTATTGTTAAACTTTTTCCTATTATTGAAAGACGTGATCCCGTATACGCAAACATAATTTATCTCTTCTCGAACCTTTCCTTTTAAGACCAGAATATGACGAATAAGAATTATCTGAGATGTCAGTTTCTAGCGAGCCTGTATATAAGGCCTCCCCATGTTTACCTCATTTTCCTCGGATGGTGATGTGTATTTAATTTCACCAGACGGCCCCCTGACTCTGCGTTTCTGCATGCATTCTGCATGCACCGTCTTGACAAACTCCCAGACGCCTTCGAAGAAGAGATCGTTGTAATCATCCAAAGTGTCCATAGATAGAACGGTGAAATGCACCTCGGCGATGTTTGAGGTGGATTTGATATTGATAGGTAGCGATCGATTCGAGCAAAGACAATCGCGTTGAATGGGCGGCGCGTTTGGCCAAGGTAAGTCGAGCACCTGAAAATAAGCAGCAAAGAGGGATGCTTCCGTATTTATTTTCAGAATCCTATTCTTGATTTACGGCTTTCCAATTTATGTGCGCCACGTGACTAAAGAAACGTCCTTTGCATGCAAAATGAATCTTGATAAATCATGCCATTGAGTCGCAATCTCAAAACCATGTTCCACCAATCTCATATCCGCGTTATTAGAAATCTAACTAATAATACAACTTGGTGCACATTGAGATCTGATTCATGTCGGTATTAATGGTACGGTGGAAACTTCAAAGCTTGTCGGCCTATTTCGGTCTATCGTGTTTCGAACCGGGATTCGAAGATTGCTGATACTCGCATCGATAAACTCACTAACTTTAATTACTAGATCAATGCTGTTAATACGTAGCTTTCATCATATCCAACTAAGGTAATACACGTCGCTCATAATTTTCGAGTTTAGCTTTTCCGAGATTATATTTAAACTCACACACACACATACACAAATGGCAATTGTTTTAAATATTAAATGATTTAATTAAATATTTAATAAATAAATATACAATTTTTTTTTGTAAAACGTTTTCATGTTTCACAAGCTCCAACTAAAATATTAATTATACACAATATCCAAAAATAAATCAATGATTTCATGACGTATTAATTGCAAAACTTTCGCGGGTGGAGATGCAATGAATTTGTCGTAGAACTTAATCACGATTAGCAGAGGTTTCTATTACGTACCTTAACGGAAAAGTTCTCGGAGCCGACGCAGAGCAGCCTATTGAAATCGGTGCTGTTAACGCTGCGACAGGTGCGATTCCCATTGAGGAGCTTGTTGAACCTCAGCTTCACCGTCTCGTCGTGTTCTCCTTCGAAGCGGTACACGCAGCTGCAAAACCCGTTCTGGCCTGCACTTTCAGCACTTAATCGAATCTACACGCCTCGCCGGCCAGGCAAAGGAGCCGGTTCAGTGATCGATACTGCAGGAAGATTACGAGGAGCATCGAAGGTTGGACGCTCGTTAATCGGAAAGCGGCTCGCAAAGTGATTCTAAGGGTGTATCATGGTAACGTGCGACCACCATTACCGAGTTTTTGGTCTCTCTTTTTGGACACTGCAGCCAAATTATTTTCGCCAGAGAACGTTTCTGCCTTTCACTATCCGATCGGGAAATAAATCTCCTTGGCGAATGCAAATAGCAATTTTACTAAATTGAATAAGATTGTTTTTACGTTTTATCTGACTCATCAACGTACATGAAAAAGTAGTCCAAAGAACGAAAATTTACGTAATTTACGTGAAAAATTTTTAATTTTTATAATCTCTGGTATTATTACATTCTAAAGTACTGATAAATTTTTGAATGCAGATGGTTTACCTACAAGAGGGAGTACATTTCTAGAATATTATATAATAAAATACTCTTTCTTCTCTGTGCATTTTGCTGAATGTTACAGCAGAAATTTTTACTCACTGACGGGAAGATCTCGGTCTAACGGCGCAAAGCTCAGTTTACGATTGTCGTAAAGTCTAACTGATATTTTATCGAGGTTGAAAGATTCGATCCCGCGGACAGTAATAAAAGAACGACGCGAGCGATAGGACCGTACGAAGGCCGTATCAAAGACGAAGCGTGTATATTCGTTCCGTAAGGGAGGACACTTTTCGTACTTTATCGCAGATATCTAGACTCTGTGAGTCGTATGATAGCTATAAAGATTTCGCGAAAAGATGTCTGGGATCTGAGAAATAAATTGATACAGATCATGATAAGTTTTCGTTATGATAATATCTGGGATGAATCACCAGAAACAGAGAGCAATGTTTAAGTCTTCTGTTTCTGATGATGCGTTTACCATAACATGATACAAAAACTATGTATAAAGGTAACTTTATATCGAAGCTTGATATTTGTGAATGAAGAAATACGTATTGATCAACGTAATATATCAATAATCTGCCAACAAGCCTCATACGCGATCTATGGATTTATCGAAATAACGAGAATTAATACAAATGATAAAACTTTGACGGATAATTTGATTACGACGGACATAGTATATAGTATAATATATTTTTTGCGCAATATGTCATCTATGAATCGTTTGAACGCGAAAAAGAAGATAGGAAAAAAACAATATATATTTTATGACAAGGCGACACAACGGCCGTTATTAATAACGGGCCGCCATAAATTGATGAATGGTAACGAGTTAACGACGTCATTATCGCATCATTATATCGTTACATTAGCCTACACAATGGTACTTCGAAAGGATACGGTCCCACCGTAGACGATGGATTGTCATAATGTCAAACTGTCAACTGCGATATTCTATCGGCGAACGAGCAATTACGAATAAACGATAATGTGTCGATCGACGAAGTTGTTACGCGAGATTATAATTATAAGTTTCGTCATAAATTTCAAGGCGCGCGAACCACGTGTTCGGCAAATATCGAAATTAATCGACGTTGGACAGTAAACGCATATTTCCGGTAAACAAATCCAAGCAAAATATTTTCTCTGGTACTTGAAGATATATTTAATTCGCTATCGTAACGGTAATATTAATATGGAATCGTATTCTTACCTTATATTCTTCGACCCTCCACGACCGTACAGAAATATATCGCGCGGTCCCCGGAATTTACGATCCGGGTAATGGTCTCGGTTGCGACTATAAAAGATGCGGGAACATGGTCCGCTACCGTATGGATCGCCATCCTGGTGGAGATCGACAAATTCGTACAGAGCGCGAAAGTTGACGGGTCTGAAAAAATAATCATTTTATGTCGAATTAATTAATTTATTAAAGCAAAAGTGTTCTGAAAAAAATAGATTAATTATATCGAGTATGACATAAGCGAATACAAAGCATATTTGCTATATTTACGAAATTAATCCATGAAGCAATGAATAAAAAAAAAAAAAAAAAAAAAAAAAAAAAAAAAATAGAATTTGTACAGAAGAAGTATAATTAGAAAAAATTTTAGAAATAACTTTATTCTCTCTGTAATAAGGCAATGTCTCCAATCTTATAAAAACATCGTATTAAGTATTAGAGATGCTAGTACGCCTTGCGTTTACGACTGCGAGGATGGATGTATTAACGTAATAACAACCGCGCGCGCGGAAGTAAAGGGTTAATATGTGTTGTTGTCCGGTAGGGTTCGGTGCGCTGATGAAGATCGACGAACCCCGGCGGATTATGGAAGGGGACGGGCCTTGAAGAGAGACGTTGCACCGTGCGGTTACCGGGATGTTATTAAACCGGCCTGAGCTTATTATAAAGCTCAAGCCGTATAGGCTTTACTTGGCGCGGAAAGGATTAACTGGACCGTGCGATGTATCCGCATTGCGCGTCACTCATCGTCGATCGAGCACGCCGTGTCTACACGCGTAAAAAAAAAAAAAAAAAAAAAAAAAAAAAAAAATAGAGAGGACGACGACACGGCAGATCGGCACGTGGCGTGATAAGCGAATGTAACGCGTGTAAAATGTGAATAGGAGTGTGTCACCGACGAGTCGCGGAAAGACCGATTCTCAATTATTCACTGACAGAAACGCCGATCGAAATCTTCGTCGCGTGCACTTTGAAGAATTATCGCGTGCGCGAGCAAATGGGAAATAACGGAGGAAGAGAGGAAGGGGACGCAAATGCCCGCCGATTAAGGCGACAAAGACCGACGTGATCGCGATTTAATTAGCATTCGATAAAATTTCCAATTTTAGGATATTACACGCGGATAGTGCACAGTTTTTGTTATTGACAATGAGTTTTTCAATATTGAACAGGCTTTAAAATTCTATAAATTTTTTTCTCCCCTATAACTTTAGATTATTCGTGGAATGCAAGACCTTCCGATACAGTACAAGGCATCTTATCGAAATTCGCGTTTCTTCATGCATGGCATGCACACACAGAGAGATTCATTTAAATAATTTTTATATTCACGGAGCAATGCAAATCAAGAGATAAACGTAACATTTTTGAAGGATGGAAGGAATGGGTGCGTATAAAATTAAGCAAATGGAGGATGTGGAGGCAGCTGCGCGTCTCGGCATTCCTCTAAATTCCACTATCTTCCCTTCGCAAGGGAAAGGACGGGGCAAAAAAGGAAGAATCCTTCCTCTCTTATGAATAATCTATATTGTAGGTAGTGGTGGAGAGAGCGTAGAGCGCGGCGAACGAATGAAACGTGCTGTTGCGACAGATATTGCACGTCATATTGCTATAAAACGTTCTCGCATATTTCGCTTGTAACGCTCCGGTGATTCGATATAGTGTTGTAAGCAAATCGGATGAAACGCGGAATTACAAAAAACGTAAGTTGTGTATGTACGTATACGTATATGCAATTTTAAAAATCGTTTTACTAATATTTGTCGATGAAACTTGCTGATATATACATTCTCTGGAAATTTTTCAATAACCCATTAATACTTTTTGCACGATCTGCTTCTGAAATAAAGATATTGAAGGCTGAGAATTTATAGATATCTTTGGTACTTTTAAATTTTGTCCGATTTGCACAGCCAGTTGTATTCGTGTATTCATTTTCCAATTTTTATTTTTCTTTCCCTGTAGATAAATATTTTTTTGAAGAGCACTCGAATTACTGTGGAAATAACGCGAAAATCTAGGGAATTAATATAATCCTTCAGGATATAGATACGGCTAACAATAAGATATAATCGAACTTATTAATCCATAGCGATATTGTTGTTTACTAGTTCGAATCCAATTAATTAAGGAATCACTTACGGAAGTTACATAACTTTGTAAACAAATATCAGAAGTTCAAGCAGTCTAGTGAATTCAATTAAAACATGGGATATAAGCGATACTTTAACTTAAACTTCAATTTAACTAATTTCAAAATATATTTTCTATATAAATTTAAATATCTTTTTTAATAATTTCAATATTTTCACGCGTACGGTGAAATATCGGTTAAATAGCGGTGTAAAAGATATTGTAATTTCAATAAAAAATTTCAATACAAAAAGATACTTGCTTAAGTGCCGTTGACTCAATCATGCGCATCTCGATAGTTAGACTGCTGCCAGAGGAGACGAAGCTTTCCCCCAAAGAGCACGGACGACTGGTATTCTGCAAAATAGCGTGATCGCAAGTCTTCGGTACTTTATCCTTGCAGTATCTCGCTAGCAATGTAGTATTACTCGCGGGACGCGCAAGAACGGGTTGAATCGGGTCGCCCATTCTCTCGGCGTAACGTTGACGTTCTTTTTCACTGAAACAGAAACACGTGGCGTTGGCTCTCTTTCGCAAAGATGCTGTTTGGTAATAAAGAAAATTACGGCGATTTGAAAAATTAAATCGATAAGCAGAAGTTGGCATAATCAGAAATAGATAAGGCAATAAAAAATTAGAGAAAGCAAAATAATATACTACCAGACGACATCGTTGCACTCCGATAGCGGCATCATCTCGCCGTCCCAGACCATCAGCGTCGTGGAGCAATCCTCGTCCGTGGTGGACGGATTGGTGCCCACGTGGAACTTGAGGATGGATAACCAGACGCGAAACTGCGGCTGCGGCGGTCTCGGGGCCGGTCTCCTCCAGACGGTACCGGGTCTCTGCTCCGGAAATTTGGGCAACGGACGCGGGGGTGTCGGGCTCGGCGGGGTGGGACCAGCGCCACGAAGATGGTACAAGCACGTGCTGTTTCTCGGCAGTGAATGACGGGGCGACGACAGGACGCCACCGCCGGTGCCCCTCAGCCAGAACTCGCAACGTTTACTCTTGGCGTAGGTGGGCGATTCGGCGTCCACGAACGTGACCTGGAAGCCGACGCGCGTTTACGTTGCGTGCACCGGGGTTGGACTTCGCGTCGCCCCGATTCGCCCCCCTTAGAATGGGGAGGTTGAGCGGATTGCCCGAGCGATCGCGTGTTTGCGGTCCTATCTGATACGAATGTATTTGCTGCGGCGTGTCGTTAGGGAATTTTACGGGATAATGCGAGCGTTGGTGATATCGTTGTTCGTACTCTACAATACGGGAGCTCGTTGAATTTTATGCGCAATCAACGAGGTGAAACGAATTCTCAAATTTCCCATTTTTCATAGTGGAGAAAGATAAAGATAAAGAGATAATAATAATTTATATTTCAGTTCTTTAAGGAGTTAGAATGTTGTGAATGTATAATTATTTTTATGATAATGTCTTATTTCGATATACATAGTAATTTTCTTTTATTACCGCAGTTTGTCGCATTAATAGGATTAATAATAACAATTAAATAGCTATTAAATAGAAATGCTTGTATCCAGGAATTATAGTTCAAACGTAAGGCACGATTAATTTTCCTAAGTATTCTCTCTCGTAGAATGTTACCTATATCTACACATCTATTGTGTTTAATTTTATGGGCGATTAAGAAGGAACGGATAGATTAGACATTAATTAAGGTGGTCATTATGCAATTTATAGCGAAGAGCTCTCTCACGTACTTGCACTTCTAATTGAAATCCATGTAGGGAATGGGGCGGCGTTGGATGTAAGAAGGTGCCATAAGGGGAGGTAGTAAACTCCACAAGGATCTCCGGACCGCTGCTGATGGCCTCCGGTACTGGTTCTCCGCCGCCGCAAAATTTTAGGATCACAGGCTCCCTGGTGGTGTATCCGTCATACACTGTTACATAATCCTGTAAAGGCAAATTTAAATCTATCTCTCATGGAAGAGGTATGCGTAATTCGAGAATAAATCTATCAGTTCCTACGTACGGTAAAATCATCGTCGATCTATCATATATATAATTTTCTCATATTGATATCTAATTTGTCCAATTAATATATAAGTGTGAATATCCAACTGAATTTATTATTCTCTCTTTATTACTTGTATATTATTAAATATTACTCTTAAATCTTAAGGAATTCTTGCATTAATTGATTAAAATATATTAACATTAATAATATTAGAATTAGAAAAGATTGATATAGATCCGCGAAAAATATTAACAGATTTTCTCTGAAGAAAAAAAGCCGTATAGAATCAGAATAAATCATCGCAAGAGGGTGATTGAATTTGTATGGCTGCATTTAATTCACAATCGGCCCTACAACAGACATATCACGCAATCGTGACTTTTTTCCGATTACAGTAAAGAGAGAATGCGAAACTTGAAAATTTTTCTACTGACAGAAAATCATTATGCAAAAGTAGCGCAACTGTTTGGCAGACCGGTCACGTGTTGTCTCGCTACGCGCCCTTTCTTTTCTCCGTCTTTGTCTCGAATTTATAACAGCTAATCCAATTTTCGCGGTGGCTTTACGTACCTGAACGACATCGCAATCTTGCCAAAGACGTAGCTCCCGGGGCGGCGGCTCGGCCTGAGTAGCTGGTCGCGCCCTTACAGCTACCAATTGACCTCGGGGCTGTTTTACGTGTATTAAAGCGTGTTTGCCCGCCGGCACTTCATGCTGTCTCACCTACGTACATAGATACGAGTAATTTATTTCTGCCTACTCACGCTATATTCTTCTCTCGCACAAAGTCATTATCTTAATGCTTATATGCATTATGCGGCAGAATATATTTTCTTAGCGACTAAAATAAATATAAATATAAATATTATAAAAGCTGCAATAATACGTTTACATCGAATAGTATCAGTTTTAATCCTTTCCGTTTATTTTTTGTGCTAATTAAAAGTTAATTTTTATTTTCCAAAAAAGTTATTGTATTATGTATTATGAAAATGACCATGTATTTAAGAATGATATAAATAGGCCTAACCGATTTTTCTAGAAAGTTTCAGAGCAACGGAATGTTGAATTTATTTTTTCTATTATTTTTATTTAGGTATTAATCTTCGTCAGATATGAATATATTTTTTCAAACTTAAAAGAATAGTAGATATAATGCGCTTTATTTAAAAAAAATCATGTAAATTTATTTAGTGAAAGATATAACTAAATTTTAAATTTGTTATTTACTCTTCGTGATTGAGATAACAGAGCAAAAATGTGTCGAATCGATTTTTATCTAGACATCGGAGACTTTACGACATTGAGCGTAAGTGCGCGAATAGATCAGAATGGTTGTATCACAGTTTTCGAAATAAGATAAACTTAGTAGAAATATACTGATAGAGATTGCGAGCTTCGAAGTCGTAATCGAAATCTATCTAGCGTAAGTCCCACGAGTGTCCGCCTGTCTATAGTTGTACACGAAGAGGATAAATGACCGCCTCCGGTTGTTGAAACGGGAGGCCGTAAATTCTACCGAAACCTTCATGTATTTCGTCCATCGGAATGACTGAGTATCGAAAGGTTGATTAGTTTGGGGACATCAACTCGCAATGACAAATGTTGGCATTATTATAATCGTCATTGGTTACTTTATCATAAATAATAGCTTTTGTACGAAAATAAAATTTACTTTAGTGGGGAAGGAGACGAAAAGTTAAATATATATAGAGATCAAGAAAATAATAATAAGAGATAGAGATTAAGAAAATAATTTTAAAAAATACTTAAAAGAGATTAAGAATTTTTCAAATCATTTTTCTTATCTTACTTTTTAAATTAAATTTGTCCTAACAATATTAAAGTGACACCTTGCCAATTCTTTGCGAAAATATTGCCGATGCGTTTGCTCACGTACAGAACTTCGTACTTGGCTGCCGACCAATTTTGAATTTTCTACTGCAAACAAAAAATTATACCGGCCAGAAAGTCGTCTCTCTCGCGTTGATTTACGTGACGAGGAAACTCACACGGTACTAGCGAGATGCTAAGGGGAAATAATGGCCACCGGAAGAGAACCATCCGAAAATTTGTTAACCGCATGCGAAGGGAAGCGAGCCATTTTTACGACTTCCGTTGCAGGTGTGTCTGCATGAAACAGAAATATGAGCCGCGTCAAGACTCTGGAGAGAGGAACCCTCTCTGACTATGTCGATCGTATATCTCTGCCGCGCATCTGCACGGCGACGTGCAAATTAATTCGAGCGATGATACATTATCGTAACGATACGCCTGATACGATGGAAACGTTTCCCTAATGAGCAACCTAAGAAGGAAAATACAGAAGATGGAAAAATAAACGCATTTATAAAAATAAACGCTCTTATAAACACATTTTTTTTGCACATTATTGAATATTGTTAAATCTTTTCTCGCATAGTTTTTGTTGAAATTGTGCGTTATTAGATATTCCATAAAATGTGAATGGTAAATTCACTGTCACTAGCATTACGTACGGTTATATCCTGCGATAAACCTTGTTTTTTTTTAATTTTTTACAGTCTAGAATAAAAACGCATCACGCGCCTTTTGCCAATGGTACAATTTAAGCGAGCCTTACCGCGTAATAGCAGGTGAGATTGCGGGGATAGAGACCGGGAAAGTTGGGCGACTGCAATCTGCACTTCTTCCGGTCGCAGTCGGTGAATATACGGGAGCAATAAGTTCCGGATATTAGGTCCCCTAAGAACTGCTCGGAGCTCGGCTTCGTAGGTAGTGGCACGTGTTGCTCGACCATTTGCACCGGCATCGCCATCGACGTGTTCGCGTACTCGACGGACGTGCGCTCGGTCGACGCCGGCATCCCGGCGACCTGCGTTATTCCTGACCACGTGACATTGGAATTTTAATCATCGACGACGAAAATATCGGGAAATTCTTTGTCCGCACAATTTCAATGGTCGTCCGTAATGATAACCTAGCAACGTAATTTTACAAACGATGCTACTTCAAACCCTGAACAATTTTTTTGTCAAATATTTGCTCAAGAAATCTATTCGAATTTTTTTAATTAAACGAGGTGACACAATTATATATGTTTGGGCGAATTTTTTAAATATATATTAAAAGTATCACAAGAGTATTATAGATCTTCAAACTCGAAAAGTTTACCTATTTTATACTTATAAGTGTCGTAATATTGTGAAGTTGTACCAATAATTGCAATTTTTTATTATTTATAACACAAAATATTTTATAATGTATTATATAATATTTTTTCTCTCTATGTACTTTTAATGTAATAACGAGACGACATTTTATGATATATATAGTAACATAATAATATTTATAAAGTAGAAACGCATACACACAACAAGGAAATCAAAAATTTCGTTAGATTTTACTCGAACAGTCTTTTCACAGAAAACGTCTAAATTTGTTCCGAACTGATTTCAACCGAAATAAGTACACGAAATAAAGTCCATAGAACGTGGGACAAATGTCGAACGTGTCGCAAGCCAAACTTCGAGATACGTGCTCGAAATCTGTAAACGGAAGCTGATCACCTACCGACGAAGGGATTTCCGTAACGCACCACCGCGTCGGACTTCCTGATCATTTTGTACGCCATCCTAAAGTCAAAGTTGAATCCCGTCTGATCTTTGCTGAGCCTGAGCAGCTTGAGGATGATCGAGACACTGGGTGTTTCGCTGTAATAGATCGCGGGTCCCCAGGATGTGCCGCACCAAAGACCACCGACGTCGGGACGCTGTGCCTCTGAGATCTGCAAGGATCCATCGGGACATCCCTCCGCAGTGAACGACACAAATTTCCCTAAGGTAAAACTGTCGAAGGTCAGCTGCAACAGCAAAAGCTCAGCGTAAAATAATGGCGAACAAATATTGAGTAATGTTTAATCTTAAAAGATTAAAATAGTTTTAAAATAAGCTTTTTTGATATAAGTAATCGAAAAGTACTAATAGAATAGAAGAGAATCGAGTTTATTAAAAAAAGGAATATTTTATTATATTCTAATCTATTAAAAGATATAAGGCTGACTCTAGGAATATTATATATTTTTATATTTATCTTATATCTATTTATTAGATGTTTACTTTTTATATCTATTTATTAGATGTTTACTTTCTCGATTAATTTTTCAAATATGTTTTCCTAAATTTTATTTAACGACGGACATTGTCGTGATTGGATGAGTTATTTTACTGCAAAAGTTTCCTGTTTATATTGCTGATCAAATAAATTCGCATCGGCATCCTCATCGATCATTGATCGAGCCGTCAGAAACGGATAGTTTGCACGATTTTTCATACGAAAAAGCAGTCGCGCATGTCTGTCCGCGTCACGCGATTAAAATATCGACAATTCCGCTTTTTGGCGATGATAGAAAGCAGTTTGCATTTGTAGTCATGTGTGAGCGATATGATTGACGTGTCAAACATTAATCAAGAAATATTTATATGCAACTTAAATGCGCTTGCTATTATTGCTTAAATGCCAATGACTGTTTCAAGTTTATTTATATTTTTTACTTAAGTTACTCAAATTTTTTTTAGAGAAACTTTAGAGTAAGTGGATTGAACCCCGCAAATTGGCTTGAATATGTCGTGTCAGACATAATTTCGCGCAGTTGCCGTATTCTGTTTTTATATCAATGCGACTTTCGGCGAGGTCGTGGCTCCTTTAAGAACGAAACGAGAACAATAAACATATTTACGCGTAGACCACTGGCATGGGATAGTGCAAAGGATTCTCGTGACCTGCGTTATGCAGATATGAGAAAGCCGGCAAATATTACCGTGTAAATAATCCGGCAGTTGGTGGTTAAAGAGTTTTTGTGTGCACTCTCGAGAAAGTTCTCGCGCTCTCGGAAACTCGGTGTACGGTCAGTTCTACGCAATCGTCGGAAAATTCGCAACGTTTATTAAAAATTCCGCTTCTAATTTCTCCGCAAGAAAAGTCGAGTAGAAAAAAATAATTCCCTTTGCTGTCGCGTGAAAAATGGATGCGCAAATGTTTTCCGAAATATGGCGAACATTTGCTCCACGTATGTTTTGGCTGCATAATTTTTATTTGAGATTCTCTTTAAGAAACGCGTTTCGCTTTGGAGATAATAATCATCTTGTTTATGCAAAAAAAAAAGATTATTTGTTAGAACTCATGGACTTCAATAATCTACGTTAAAAACTTGAGTATTCGGAATTTAATTTGCTACATAAATCTCCAGCGCCGTTCTGTCTTCCTTCTTCTTTATCGTTTCCTGGTTTCTTAAACGAACTTCGTTACTTCGTTAATGCATACTTTAATTAAAGTCAGATTCAATGAAATATAATTTGTTGCAAATTTTAAAGACGTGTTTTTTCATAATTTGTGAAGAAATCGTTGATAAATAATATTGCGAAAATAGAATCTATGTAATATTAATACTAATGATAATTAAAAACGTTTTCGAATGATATGAAGACTCACCTGCACGATATCACCAAAATCGTCACCTGGCGCGTTAAAGGTGAGCTTGCAAATGTAAGGCACCTTATCTTCTTTCGGTCGATGCAGTTCCAAATCATACGTCTTCCCCACGTCGCCATAATATGTTTTATTGCAAGCTGCAACGTGAATATTAAGATATTTTAATATTTTACGTTCTTTCTATTCTTATAATAATATGGTATATGTATCAATACTTATTTTTATTCTCTCTCTTATTTATTTCTGAGATTATTTTTGTCGAGTTTATAATATCAAAGTATTCGCCCATTATTGGAAATTTGCTCGACACATTCAATCGTTATTATAACTGTGTGTGCGTACATATGTACGTTATGTAATATTACATCTGTTTTTAACATAAAACTCTGTTAAAGTTTAATTTATTATATTTTCTGATTTATATAACTATCATATAAATATAAGGAACAGTCAAGAAAATAATTATATAAATACGGCATATCACATATATAATTTTTCGATAATTTTTACAATCCTTATAACTTTGATATCTCGATAACTTTCTCTTGTTCAATAGCAGAGAGATACGTTGTTCTACAGTGAATTCCGCCTTATCTTCTTGAAACCGATTTCTTACTTGGGCCAACAACGTCGTCATGGCTGTCCGTAAATTTTCTTTTACGAATAGCATTTTTCAAACCCGGAAGTGCACTTCCCAGAGCCGTGAAAAATCGTATCTGTGGCTAAAAATTTATGGGAAAGGAAAATGGTCGACGAGCATGCCTTTCTGCAATATTTTCATCATATTTTTTTCTCCGTAAAAAAATACTGCAAAATCTAAATTTTATTTTATACTTACAAGGATGTATTAATTAAGGATTAATTAACTTTGAATAGTTCTTTTATCTTGATTTTTTACGTCACAATTTTAGTTATAAGTCATTAGCCGTTATGAGAGTTCCGTTTTAGCTTTCTACGGAATTAGTATTCTTGCGAACGGCTAGTGGAATTAACTCGATTACAGAGCTCTCAATGTAATCGCGAGATTAGAGACGACAGGTTAAAAACGCCTGTTTGTCGTAATAATCCAAACGTTTCTGTTGGAAGTAATTTTATTTAAAATCAACGACATAGAGAGAGAGGGAGGAGAAGGAAGTATGACAAGAAAAATGCACATAAATACAACGTTCACTTTATACTAAGTCTTTCTTACTTTTGTTAGTCAATTTACGAAATATCTTCCGCAAGAGGTATTCGAAATATCTCTCATTCATTAAATAAACACTTGTATACGGAATATCAAAGATAAAAAATTTGATGAAGCCGCGTCATAATCCGTAAATATGGTATTCCCGTTCCCTCGTCAACCGCAAACCGATCCCATCAGAGAGATTACGAGGGGCAAACCCTCGCGGATCGTAGAGCATGCCAAAATAAGGAATTGATGGAAGATGGTAATGAATTATCGATGAGCTGCGTCGTTTGTTTCGTGCCAGGCATTCTGGCTCGATGTTTCGGATGAGAGACGAACGAACGGAGAAGCGACGACCGCGCGCAACGCTTCCCTTCTTCATTCATGTTTAATGGCATTTGCGGTGGGTCTGGAAAAACGGCGCTCAATCAAAGTCTTGCGAGTATGACCTTTCGCAAGAGGCCGACGAAAAGCGCGTACAATCAAGGGAGCGCATGATATTCTTGGTAGAACATTCGGCTGAATAGTTATTTATTCGCCGAAATATGATATTGATCAAATTTTTTATACAGATATTTATAACACGTATCTACAGATTTTCTACAATTCGAAAGCAATGCATAGTAATTTTATATAATTTTATGTAATGATTTTATATAATTTTATATGTGCATGTGCTTTGAGAGAAATAAAAGCACTTTAATGTATGAAATATAAAGAAATGTAAAGAATCAAGATAGTATGTTAAAACTAAATTTAATTAAATAGCTAATTAATATCTCTATTAAAGGTTACTTATTTAGGACATATATATAATAATATTATATAAAAATTTTAGAATTTTTTTTAAGTCTGATTTTCTCTAAACTATATAAAGTTATATCAGTTTATATAAAATTATGAAAGAAAAGCTCGAGGAACTAGTGTTTTAAAGTGATTCTTAACTTTTGTAGTTTCCTTGGTTTTATAAATTCATTTCCAATACTTTTCTTCCTTCATCCTGTAAAAAAGAAACATTCTTTCAAATAGTTTCTACAGGTTTGCTGATACAAGCAAATAATATAATACAAAACAGTAATAAATAATTGCACATCTACTCTATCCGAATAAAATTTTGTAATTTAACGATTAAATTATTTCGAAAAATTGAAATATGTAGAATAAGAATTCTTTACGAAAATTTGTTTTAGTGATACCGACATCCTCCTATCGTCCGTTTCTTATCGCTACCTCAAGTAATTTTATTACATTCCCCTCAGAAAATTTACTGTTCAGTTTGGAAACTACTGCTCTAAACCATTTGCTCAACTCGTTCACGATTTCCATCGATTAGACGAATCGGGAATGCACTCGTCGATCGAGTTGCTTTGGCTTCTCCGCGTGCGTCCTAGGAATTACCCCTAGCTTCGGTTGATTACACACTGGACTATTGTGAGGTTTCAAGGGCTCATAATGGATGTATAGGGGTGGAAATCAAGGGTTCACCAGATAGACGAGGGTGTCGTAGAATCGAAATGGTTGTCACAGACACATACACACACGTACAAAATACGTACCATTTCCAGGCACCGCGGGTCATTTCTAATCAGAACTCTGACTCGCGCTGATCTAATAGGTCACTTCGAAGTTGTGCGTTTATCTCGGAACAATTCCTTGAACAATCGGTTTCAGTATGGGAGATAAGCAATGGTAATCGTGTTTTAAATGGTGAAATTGTAGTGTAATTAATAATTTTACTGAAATTTTGAAAACCTTTGTTTTAACAAAAATTTCTTCTTATCTCATACAGATCGATCGTTGCATATGAAATATCGTATTTCGAAAGTTTTATAGATTAAGTATCTAACTAAAAATAAAAATAATCAAACATACAAATTATGTGTACATTAATAAAATTATTCGTTTATTATCGTTCGTCAAAACCTCTTCACTCTCTTTTACATGTTATTAATCTGATAGAGTTAGTTCAATATATTCTGATACATATTTTGCGTAAAATTCATTTGTTTATACTTTTCAGAGTTTACTTAACAAAGATTGGAAACTTGAGTGTACCGAGTTTTGAGCAATTATGAAATTTAGGTGTCTGTCTGATTAATGGTCGACATAAACCATTTCGTTCCGTCAGACGTGTCTGGCCAGGCGCTGCATTCTACTACTGCGGCATCAAAGAGCCTCTCCAGCGGAAACATCTGACGAATGACTGGTTTCTGTCACTGCCACGGTACATCTCGCCGAGCATTTCGCGTCGTACGAGCAAAGACAGGAATCCTAGAAACTCTGTGACTAATAATTCCATTCTTAATGAAAATTGCCGCTTTATGTCGCGTTATATCAAATGCTATCGCTTCGATCAAATGTACTCAACAATTATGAAAATCTTGCACTTACAAAAATTATATCATAAAACTCTGTTAAAGTTTAATTTATTATATTTTCTGATTTATATAACTATCATATAAATATAAGGAACAGTCAAGAAAATAATTATATAAATACGGCATATCACATATATAATTTTTCGATAATTTTTACAATCCTTATAACTTTGATATCTCGATAACTTTCTCTTGTTCAATAGCAGAGAGATACGTTGTTCTACAGTGAATTCCGCCTTATCTTCTTGAAACCGATTTCTTACTTGGGCCAACAACGTCGTCATGGCTGTCCGTAAATTTTCTTTTACGAATAGCATTTTTCAAACCCGGAAGTGCACTTCCCAGAGCCGTGAAAAATCGTATCTGTGGCTAAAAATTTATGGGAAAGGAAAATGGTCGACGAGCATGCCTTTCTGCAATATTTTCATCATATTTTTTTCTCCGTAAAAAAATACTGCAAAATCTAAATTTTATTTTATACTTACAAGGATGTATTAATTAAGGATTAATTAACTTTGAATAGTTCTTTTATCTTGATTTTTTACGTCACAATTTTAGTTATAAGTCATTAGCCGTTATGAGAGTTCCGTTTTAGCTTTCTACGGAATTAGTATTCTTGCGAACGGCTAGTGGAATTAACTCGATTACAGAGCTCTCAATGTAATCGCGAGATTAGAGACGACAGGTTAAAAACGCCTGTTTGTCGTAATAATCCAAACGTTTCTGTTGGAAGTAATTTTATTTAAAATCAACGACATAGAGAGAGAGGGAGGAGAAGGAAGTATGACAAGAAAAATGCACATAAATACAACGTTCACTTTATACTAAGTCTTTCTTACTTTTGTTAGTCAATTTACGAAATATCTTCCGCAAGAGGTATTCGAAATATCTCTCATTCATTAAATAAACACTTGTATACGGAATATCAAAGATAAAAAATTTGATGAAGCCGCGTCATAATCCGTAAATATGGTATTCCCGTTCCCTCGTCAACCGCAAACCGATCCCATCAGAGAGATTACGAGGGGCAAACCCTCGCGGATCGTAGAGCATGCCAAAATAAGGAATTGATGGAAGATGGTAATGAATTATCGATGAGCTGCGTCGTTTGTTTCGTGCCAGGCATTCTGGCTCGATGTTTCGGATGAGAGACGAACGACAACAATTATGAAAATCTTGCACTTACAAAAATTATATCGCAAGGATTATATTGTTACGAATTGTATTAATTTTTATAAATTTCTTAATAATAAATATGTTATTAACAAATCTCGATTTATAAAGAAAAAAATGATGAAGCAATTGAGTGAATTAAACGCCTAATTTGTCTTAAAAAGATTCTAGAGGTAACAACGATTTAACTGTTTCATATTTTGACCTGACGCTGTTCACGTTCACGCAAACAGTTAACCGAGAGTAGTTCTAAAGCTAAACGTGTCCTTTGTACTGCGCAATCGAATTCGAGTTGGCAAGTAGGGACGCCATGCACAATTGGCATTGAGCCAAGCGCGCTTAACAATGCCTGAAAATCTGGATTCGGAATGAATGCGTCTCCTTCCAGCTCCTGTAAATTTCCCGATTGTTCCAT